GTGAATACATGCGATCCATTTCATTTATTTGTCAAGTACTGGGGACAAAACAAACAAAAAAAGCACCTCATGCACTTACCAAAGATGATAGCTGCTCGTTACTTTGTTACCAGATACAGAGAGAACGAAGTATTGGGAAGTTTTCAGGTTCTAAAATAGCTCATTTATTGGTCAAGTACTGGGGACAAAACAACCAAAAAAAGCACCTCATGATAGCTGCTCGTTACTTTGTTACCAGATACAGAGAGAACGAAGTATTGGGAAGTTTTCAGGTTCTAAAATAGCTGCAGGAAACTTGGTCATGCTGTCACACTGTCAGCCTTTCATAGGTTTGCTTTCTGTCCTTCAGCTTTACTATCTGCCACAGGAGAACTGGTAATTTTTTTCCCCCTGTATAGAGTATTTATGTTTCTATGACAATGATAGGTTCAGGACAAACAGCCCAGAATTTGGCATATGCAGAAACAAGCGATGAGAAAAATTGTTAGCTAAATATAAAACCAAAGTAATTTCTAAATATCAGAAATGCAAAATTTGCTCTGTGACCAAATGGCGTTGCTCCCAATGTCTGCTGCACACCTTTATAATAGCAAAAGAATGCTCATTAACAAAACAATTGACAAATCTGCCAAAGCAAGTTTCATTGCTCCCATCTGTTGTCTGTAGTTGGCCCACCAGTCTCCAGAAAGACATTTTCTGCCAGGAGAGATGTATTATCCATCAAATCAATTATTTCCAAACACTAAGTAATATCTCAGGTGGCTGTCAAGTAAACGCAACAGACCTCCAGAACTGCTGCAGCTTGTTAACTTGCTTATTGGTTGAATTCAGTAGGGTCATAGGACTCCTTCATCTTAACCTCGCAAAGCACAGCTGAGAAACCAACCTCATTACTTCTCCCGCACCTTCACCTAGGCAAACTAGGCAGCTGTTCTCATTACTGAAAGGGTAACGAGGATATCCCTCCCTAAATGCAAGCATTCAACCAGAAGCAGTGCTAGTTCCTTACTATGCAGCTTTCCAGCTGTACCAGGGCCCATGGCTTCTATTAGTTACAGAACTGTGTAACTGAATCCCATAAATCCTTGCCAAGTGTCAGTATTAAAGCTGTAAAACAGACACAGATCTGCAAAAGGGCAACTGATGAGTCTTCACCCTAGCTCTTAAAGTCTTGAATATGAAGTAGGAAACACCCCAACACTGTTTCTGGTTTTGTTAACTGAGCTAACAGTGTAGTCCCTCCTTACACCTGGATTAGTAAGGATACAGGGAGGAAAGGCAAACTCCCCCTGTATTGTCCTTTGAACGAGCTCCACCTTGTGCTTCAATCTGGAACAACAGGTCCTCAACACCGAGCTGAACGACAAGTATAAAACGGTGGAAGATCTCATCGCCAAGAAGACAGAAGAGTCGGCTGATGCTAGGAGGAAAGCTGGCATGTTGCAAGATGAAGCTAAAGCCTTGTTGGCTCAAGCAAACAGCAAACTCCAGCTGCTCAAAGGTAAGGCTGTTCTGAGAAGGTAAGTCATCATAGAATATGAAACAATTTCATGCTGGTAAACAGGCTATTCATCAGCAGTAGAGAAAAAAATGGCAGTTAATTCTTTATTACTGAGGTTTTGTCTGCTTTCCTTATTGTTATGGATACAACGTAGTCTTGTGAATCAAAGATATCTATAAAAACACTGCAACTTACAAGCGAGGCACAAGCTTCTAGTATGGCACCTATCCCTGCTCCAAGAAACACTACAGGGAAGGATCATTACTGTGCTTAGGACAAGGACTAACCCATTCAAGCAAGACCCCCATTGTCAAACAATACTCTCCCCACCCCACCCTGGGAAGCTATTAAAACAAAAGGTAATCAGGATACATTAGTTCCAGTTTACAGATTAATTTAACACTTACTATTGACAATTGAAGTTGACTGAAACAGAAGGGGGCAATCTGCCCATAGCTACCAGGGAGGGAGCTAAGTTTTCCTTCTGTTTTTGCCAGGCCAGGAACTCATTCTTCCTCTTAGCTGCTCCTACAGTGACTCACTGAATAGTCTTAACCCTAACAAGCCAAAACATTTCACTGCTCTGTAAAAGCCACCATAGAGCACAGAATGACAATTATTTTCAACGTGAATCAAAGTATACTTTTGGATTTCCACTTATGGAAAATTACTTCCTTGTTTCTTTATGTCCCAATGTTAAGGAAGCAAAAAGGTGCCATTCCAGCCTTTGCCTTTGTTTTTCTTCCCTAATCAGATTCTCTTCCGCAATAAAAATAAATTTGAATAGTAGTTTTATCTGTAACTATGACGACTTACATTCCACTGTATTAAAACACCCCTAATTAAGCTGTTTTTCCCCTTCCTTTGACAGACTTGGAAAATACATATGAAAACAATCAGAAAGTTCTGGAAGACAAAGCCAAGCAGTTGGTGGAGCTGGAAGAGACAGTTCGCTCCCTCTTACAGACAATCAGCCAGAAGGTTGCTGTTTATAGCACTTGCTTATAAATGGGAGCAGGAGATGCTTGTGTTCAGGATGGGTTTTACAAGTATTACACTAGTTCTTTTTGATATTATGCTAAGACCTGACAATGTGAGCAGGTTTTATATTGACTTTAAAATCACAGAACCAAAGACAAGTAACTTTTTGATGTTGAAAATAAACAGTACTTTTGTATCACTGTATGTACCTAGTATGACTCATTAAGTTCCTTCCTATTTTCAGTAGGTAAAATGCTACATCAGCTAATCCTTTAGCAAGTCTTGTTTTTAAACTCGTCAGAGATCTAATAAAATCTTGGCTCCAACTACGTAATTCTAAGTACGAAGGGCTCCAATTACTATGAAACATAGGATGGTCACTCAGAACAAAGTTACAAGCGAATGAAGAAATACCATCCTTGTGTGGTTAGCTAGCATTTACGCCATAGTACTCAAAAAGGATTATTTACCCTCTGCATGATAACCATTTAGGCTTAACACTAGTTCCATATCAAGTGTTTCATATTCGGTGACATGTGAAGTGGAACCAGAGGTCAGCACTGAAGGGGTGAATGCAGTTTACATTTCAAGCACCAAATTTATGTGATAAACCAAGCTTGGAGGATCAAGCCTCTCTGGAAAAGGAACTACAAAAGTTCACAGGGCACTTAATGTGAATCTGTCACAGACAGCTCTAAGAACAGCCTGCACTTAACAAGACTTTTTTTCAAAGTGCAAGAGTAGCATCCAGTTTACCATACTTAAGCTCAAAGTTAGCTGTAGAACAGTGCACCTTCAGACAATTGTACAGAATTATTTACAACATTCATCAGCTACACAAATTAGTTTCCAAAACTGCAACATGCATTTACACATCCTGACTGCTAACTCTGACCTAAGGAATACATCTGCATACGTACTTTGATCAGCACCTTACTTAACCTTGACTAATGTCATCAAAAGTCAGTCAGGACAACTATAGCAGAATACATCACTACCTAAGCAAACTGAAGAGCACTATGTTTAAATAATTACCCCTAAGCTCCCTAGGTTACAAATGCTACAGCAAAAAAAATCCATCACAGGAACTGATGACCATACCAGCATCATACAGTTTCACTGCCAGTGTACTTAGCAGCTGTTAAAAAACACAATTTGCAAACTGCAACATTCAGACTTAACTGCCATCAAGATCATTGATAGATGGCTCCGTAGCTCATCTTACTTTTACCTTTAGAAACACTCTTTGTACACTTAACTAGAACAGGAATGACAGCAAGAGAAGTAACAATACAGTTATAATTTTTTACAAATGCTACAGCAAAAAAAATCCATCACAGGAATTGATGACCATACCAGCATCATACACTGTTTCACTGCCAGTGTACTTAGCAGCTGTTAAAAAACACAATTTGCAAACTGCAACATTCAGACTTAACTGCCATCAAGATCATTGATAGATGGCTCCGTAGCTCATCTTACTTTTACCTTTAGAAACACTCTTTGTACACTTAACTAGAACAGGAATGACAGCAAGAGAAGTAACAATACAGTTATAATTTTAAGGTCTTAAATTTTATTTTCACGTGTCTGGGAAACTATAGTCTCCACTATAATTTTAGTAGTATTCTCAACTAAAGTTTCCCTGACTTTCCAAATGTCATTTAACATGAACAAAATGAGACACAAGAACTTGTAACTCATGAGCCTCAAAGCTGAACTGCAGTAAGACTGCCACAAGTACTGAGGGAGGTGGAGGGAGTGGATGCAAAGCTGTTTCTGAAAGAGCAGGGCTTCTACGAAGAACTTGCAAAGCACAAGATTAACATTTACCTGCAGTGGGTAGAAGTGATTCTGAAATGCCAAGATCTACTGGAAGAATCAAGTTTTTCTTCCCTCACTATTGTCTCGCCTTTGCTTTCTCTTTAGCAACTTCCTACTAACACTTGAAAGCAGATCCACATTAATTCGCTTAACCCAGCATATCCCTGAATCAGATGATCTCATATCCTGGTGCTAAGCTTAATGAGCTGTCATGGTTTAAGCCCCATCTACATTTAAAACAGGAGTTAAAAAAACAAACCAAAATGAAGAACAGCATCACTGGTGTTTACTGATTAACTGGTATCTTAATAAAATGGTAATGCTGGCATATATTTTCATCACTCGGTATGAATAATGGATCAATACTTGAATAAGAAGCTCTAAAGAAAGGTAGAAGGATAGAACCATCTTGTCTATACACAAAACCAAGTAGCTTCTGCACCATCTTCCGAATGTGCATTTCTCATTCCATTGGCATAACGAAAAATAATATGCACCATACCAGCAGATATTAAGGTCTTCTTCAAGGCAGAAGAGCCTAACAACAAAAAACAACAACAAAAAAAGAAATGGCACCCCACAAAACAAAATGAGCTACTCGAATTGAGCATATTCCATATACACATGAGGTATATTCCAAAGATGCCATTTGTTCGTGAGTTTCTTCACATATCTGACAACCTAGACACTAAAAGGAGTAACAGGGCCAATCAGCAAACAAAACCCAAGAAGACCCTCCAGCCATGTTAAATATTTATTAAGCTCTCTCCCTACAGAAGAGACAGAAAGAGAGCACAAAATAGGAAACAGAAGAGGAGAAGGAAGGATGTCTTAATTGTGTGGAGTGCTGACACTGCAGCCCTTATGTGTGGAAAGTGCAGAACAACCCTCATGTCATAGCACTTAACAGCAAGCGCTGCTTCACTACCCAGTTTTAGCATTTCAAGTTTAAGAGAGCTGGACAATGGAAGCTTTAAAACCAAAAAAGATTAAATAGCAGCAAGATTAATTTTTCTTCAATCTTTCATTTCTCCATCAGCACTCAATTTTTCCCAATGAGTTTTCAATATAAAAACATGACGTGGAGAATCACACACACAGAGTAATTTTCTCTTTAAAAAGTCAATATAGTTTTAATTGATCTATACAAGCCCCTCTTTTCCCAACATCCTAACACTACTAGGTCAAAACAAGTTTTGGTACTTGTATGTAAGAAGTAGGTTAAATACTAAAGTTAATCCTTTCAGAAGGAAACACATTTTTGTGCGGAAGTGACAGTGGCATTTTAAGTGCCAGGGGCATTATAAGTGCCAGCATTCAACTGGTTTAGTCTATCACTACTTCAAATAAGAAAACACCAGGTATGCTGGACGCTTATCCAGAGTTTTGACCAGCACACCTGATAATCCCACGCAGCAGCAAAATGTTTGGTTTTGAAAAAGAAGAGTTCTGTCAGGCTGTTTTTCTGCAACATTCATCATGTAAATAAACATGTAATTTTAAGTATTTAATTTACAGACACTGGATAATTCCACTTGTTCCAAACTCTACTTGTTTAAATATTTGATGTTTAAAATGAAGAGATTCACTTAACTCAGTCCTAAAATCCTCAGACTCAGCCTTCCATAAGGACCCACAGTCCATTTTCAGAGATGTACTACCCATGTACAAAGATCTGCTCTTTCATTTTAGAAGTTGATAGCTTTGCCAAAAGACGCTGCTAGGTTTGCTTCCCTGAAGGCTTCTGACACTGTCTGTACAGAGAAAACACAAAAAGGTACAAGTCATTAACAGTTACCTATAATTCTAGCACGTCTGTGTAACCCTGGTGTTCAACAGTCCATTCAGAAAAACACTTACTGGATGGGCGTGGCAAACTCTGGCTACATCTTCACATGATGCTCCATATTCCATAGCAAGGGCAGCTTCATTAACCATTTCACCAGCACCCTGTAATTTAACGGTGTTTGTAATTAGCAGAAATCTTTATGCAGTTGTCCAGGTTCTCCTGAATCAGTAACAGCTTGTAAATAAGCATCTTTTGCTAAAAAAGAAAAGTTATAATACAACTAGCACTCCAGCTGTGTCTAATATAAGCCATAAGCACTTAATCTGTTTGGTGACTGTGCTCAAGCCTAGCGTAAATCCAAACTTAATTCTCAGTGAGAGTATTTGTTCTCTCATTACCGAAGAGTTGTGCAAAATCTGGGTATTTTTCCACTACAAGATACTGGTCAGATCATGGCCACATTCTCAAAGCTACAGTGTACGTTATCACTGTTGAAACCTCCCCAAAACTTCAATGCCTTCCTGGAAAGTTAAACAGATAACTAGAAAAACAAAAGTGTGTTACTACATCTGCATCCTCATTTTTATTTGTTGTATTTATGTGTATTTACTCAGAGAACATTTCTTTGAGGAGTGAAAAACAGTGAAATCTCCTGTTACGTTTTTAGCATTCAGATCCACAATCGTAAGATTTTCCCCCAGCCCTTTCCCAATGAAGAAAATCAGTCTGTTTCACACCAATAAACCTAAGTTGTGCTTCCATTAAGGCATGTTCATTTTAAAATGACTGGCATTGTGAGAGAAAATAACTACCATAACATCCTATTATGTATTCCTATCAGAAATTATAAGCATTGGATTCAGAAACAAGAAGCCTATCCACTAGCATTGGCAGTATATCCAGTCATAGGAATAAAATTTCCTTTCCAGGAGAATGGCGAGCAGTTTTAGTGTTTCTCTTAATGAAAGTTGTATACAAAGATGCATGCAAGTGTTTCTGCACACATCTTTTTTTAAAAAAAAAAAAAGGATTATTTAAAGCTAAGAAACAAAACAGAGAAAGATTTGGTCTAACTTTGGGATGTGGGGGACAGCAAAAAGAATTATACTTTTCCCAAATATAGTTTTCTGGTTTCTCATCTTTACAAAGGATTTTTAATCAAAGTTCTAAGTCACCTCAGATTTAATGACTGCAGCATAAGGTTACCAGCTTTGCTGAAGTTTGAAGTTCAGAGAGCAGAAAAAAAAAAAAAAAAAGAAAAAAACCAATGAAAAAGCCACAGTCTGTTCAGCTCCCTCGACTTCCAGAACTTCAGTGAACAATCTCTGCTGTTCTCTGGAGTACTTGGCAGTATTCATTAAAAAAAGGAAAAAAAGAAAAAATCAACTGGTCAGAGAAAGCAATTAACCATAGCAATTCTAGAGGGGGGGGGGGGGGGGAAAAAATGGCAGGGCTTAACCCCAAAAAACAAGGGGGTGAAATATATGCTGTGTCTAACACCAAAATAACAGAAAACTGGGAAGGAGGGCAGGGCTGCCGAAGAGAGCAGTAAATAAAAATGACTATGGTAGACTCAAATCTTCCTTTTTACAAGCACCACTTCTCCTAACTTGACAACTACTTTGCAATTGTGCAACACCAAATAGAACCTTAGAAGGACAAGACAGCAGCACAATTTACAATACTTACTGCGCCTAAAATGTGAGCACCCAACATCCTGTCTGTTGATTTTTGGCTAAGTATCTTCACCATGCCATCTGTGTCAGCATTTGTCTTTGCTCTGCTGTTTGCAGCAAATGGAAATTTCCCAATTTTGTATTCTATACCCTACAAAACAGGTATGTGTTACTGAGTTAACGACCAACAAGAACAATGTGACCATACAGACAATTTGGTAAGTACAAGAACAGAAGCAATACAAAAGTAAAAGACACAGAAGACACACAGAGCAATGCGTAAGAACAACCACCAAAAAGGACACAAGGGAGTATTAAAAAAATATTAATTAGCAAATGAACACAGCTTTAACTGCACAGGATAGAAATCATTAATGAGAACTGTGATCCTTGGGAGAGTGGCGTGCAGGAGGGAATCATTCAATCGTACACCCTAAGCAATAAATTCAGATGCAGAAATTCTCCTGGAAAAGGTAGCCAGATAAACTACTAGACAATCAAACCACACCCAAGGGGGAGAAACGGTTTTGTCTGAAAAGAAAACAAAGAGTACCTCTTCTTTCAACTGTTCTTCTGATTTGCCAACCCAGGCCACTTCAGGGTGAGTGTATATCACAGAAGGTACGCAGTTATAGTCAATGTGAACTGCTCCCCCAGCCATCCCTTCTACGCAAAGAATGCCTTCGTCCTCAGCTTTGTGGGCCAGCATAGGTCCAGCAACTACATCACCAATAGCATAGATGCTATCAGACCAATGAAACAGAATAAAACACCGTTTAAAAACATCCTAGCACACCTAGGCTACCATATATAATAGTTTGAAACACGTTACTGAAAACTCTAATCAAAACAGATTAAAATACTAAATTTCAAAAGAAATACAAAGTATAGAAGAGCACTTTCCACAGAATGACCACACTTCAAGAAGTACTGGTGACATGAAACACACACAGTGACTTTCAAATTAGAAAACTTCAAAGGTTGGCTAAAAATCTTTAGTTCCTCAAATAAACAGAAATCTTGAGTTTTCCTTTCAGAAAAGAAAGCTATATTCTGCAATTAAAACCAGAAAAAGTGCTTTAGTACGTTAAACTTTTTTTAAGCAGAACTCTTATTTTTAAAAGTAAAATAATATTTAGTCTTACTTACTTTGGAATTTTGGTTTGGAATCTGTTATTGACTGGGATCCTCCCCTTCTTATCAAGTTCAATTCCAATATCCTCAAGACCTAGATTTTGTGTGAAAGGACGCCTACCGATGCAAACTAGGAGCACATCACAAGTTATTACTTCTGCCTTGCCACCAGCAGCAGCTTCAACACTATAGAAAAATAAGCAGGAAAAATGCTAAGCTGTAAACTTCCAGCATTGTATTTCTCTGACTAGTATGATCCAGACGGTGACCTAGTGGCTGGATCTGGCATCAGCTTGCCCCATGCTTCTTCCTCGCAGGAGTTGAGCAGTAGAAGAGGAAAGGACAATAACTCTTCCTACATTTGTTAACAACTCTTAGATAGAGAAATTCAGGGTATATATCCACTAGCAAGTGACATGACCTGACAGGATCAAATCTGTACAGCAAAACAATTGCTGCTAAGTACTGGCTATCCAAACCACGTATATTTTGGGGTGGGGCAGGGCCATGTATTGTGAGCAAGCTTTCTTCTGGCCCAAAACCCAAATACCTGTTAGCAGCTGCCCTGCATCAGGTGCATCCCTCAAGTGCATCTTTGTCTTTAATTGCACCCAGCACAAGTTCAGTTCATGTGCTCTGAGAGTAGAAGAACCAAAGCATGGTAAGTGAAGCTAAGTAGGAAGTGTGTTCAAAAGCAACCTCCTGAACCAAAATGGAACTCTCATGTAGTCTGTTTCTACCTTTAGAGATCCAACCAGCACCAGCGTGGTATGTAAAGAAGCCCAAATCTAGGATCTTTACAATGGCAGAGGACAGACTACCCCAAGCTATGGTAATACAGCAAATACAAGTCACCATATCAAGATTCCAGTGAAAAAGACATTTAAGCTTACTTTCATTAAGTAACATTAAACATTTTCTTAAAACTCAAACTAGTTTCTGCATAGAGAATACATTAACAAGAAAAAGAACAGAAGTAATGTATACGTATGGACTTTAGAAAGCAAATCTGCTTTATATGTTTCTATATTAGCTGTTTACCTATAAGTCTTCAAAGGGCTCGAGTGTGGCCATTAAAAGATACTCTGGGGTAGTTTCATTTATTTCTGCACAAAAGCAATAAAATCTCTGCCATGCTTATTTTGAGACAAGAGGAGGTATGGACAAAAATAACCCTTCCAGTAAGTAGTCAAGAATCAATGGCTTGAAGATGACTGTATGAACAAACATGATATTTATGTTAATTATACCAGAAGCAAAGATCTTCCATGAAAAGAATGACTTAGAATTCTGTTTTATTACTGATCTCACTATAACACCACTGGTTTTATACTAGAATGCCTTCTACTCAAGCCAATGGAACTTCTCCTATATAAGCAATCTAGGACTCAATAAACCCAACATTATGAGTTATGAGCTCTGTAAGTTACAATACAGGGTAAAAATTAAATTTCACTAAAGAATTAAGTGTCATCCTAAATCCATTTCTTCCTGTTTAAAGATAATATCAGACTGTATTTTTAAATAGGTTTGATGGATTCGGAGGAAGGAGATATATATATACACGGTATTCCTTTAGTTTTATGTTAAACACTTACGCTACATCAATTTTTCCATCTGGATTCTTGGTAGCACCAGTAACTTTGGTGTTCAGTTTAAACTTAAGTCCTTGTTTCTGAAGAATACGTTGGAAGTTTTTAGAGATCTCCATGTCGATTCCCATTCCACCAACATGGCCCATGAACTCAACAGCTGTCACATCTGCACCAAGGCGCTGCCAAACTGAACCCTGCAGTCACAACAATATAGGTAAAAAGAGTTATTGAAAAGCAAACTTCAGATTTCTTTAATATTTACCACAGATTGTAAGCTTTTCAAAAGCAGGACAACACATAACAGCAAACTGATCAGTTCTTACAAATGTTACAGCATAGGATAAAAGAAGTCCAACTTTGCCCAGCCTTTCCCCAAAAAAATGGATTTATCAATGCTTCTCTGCATACCCAAAACTTCAATGATTGAATTCACAGAGCTTTTAAAGAATTAGCTAACAAAATAATTAAGTATAAATTAGGTATGTTTTAGGTTACAGGTATAGAAAAAAATCAAAATCAAAGAATCTGAATGTAGCTCAGAAAATTCAAAGGAAATTGCTTGTGGTGTTCTAATACCACTACAAATTAAGGCAAAATAATACCACATTAAGGCAATTTTATGCAATAAAACAGAACCACTGCTGCTTCTGCATGTATTTATAACCAAAACCACTATCATCACCTTCACCAACAAAACCCATACACACCCTATTTACCTGCAGCTACCCACATCCATCCAACACAGTATTTCACTTTGCCTACTCTTTTGCTGCTGAATGGTCATTAAGCTAAGCAGCCGCCAAGCAGATGTGCAAATTCTCAAGCAGCTGCAAGACCAGCAAATACACATTCTTTTTGAACCACACAGGTATGGGGCAAAAGGATTCAGACCAAGATGAACTACAAAGTCTCTGCTTCTTTGGTTGTGAGATACAATGTGTACAATCCTATCATTTAAAAATTTCTTGGAATTAACTGCTACACACAAGAATTTGTCTTGTCTTGAAATAAATTACCCTTAAAAAAGTAAGTTCTCTCTTCTATACACAGAACAGGTACAAACCTCAGCAAATGTTAACCCCCACCCCAAAACACACCTGTGAGGTCCTGTATGTTCCTCTCTCATTTCTCTGCTTAGCTAACCAGCTGCAGGAGTACTGATCCTGCAAACACTTATCCCAGTTTTTCTGGTAGAAAATGGAGCTAGCAGGCTCTGAAGTCTGAACAGTTTTGTTACAACTCACTCAACTAAACATCTGTTAAATCACAGCAACATAATCAAATATAACACAAAAAATAACACCCTGTTAGTTTATAAATTAAAGACCAAGTGGTTTAAATATCCCCTCACCAGTTCCACACCAATGACTCCTGCACCAATGACAACCATCTTTTCAGGAACTTTTTTCAGTGACAGCGCACCAGTGGATGACACGATATTATCTTCATCAATCTAATGACAAAGAAATCCACAAAGGGAGGTTGACAATCTCTTTTATACATTATGTACAAAACACAGAGAAGGTGAAGTACAACCAGAAACAAAAAAATATTACACATTAAATTATGTGGCTATAACACATTGAAAAAAAGTACCACTAAGGTTTCAAATACGTACAGTAATTCCAGGGAAGGGAGCAACTTCTGAGCCGGTGGCTACAAGTATGTTCTTTGTATTGATAACTTGTGTGCTGCCATCTTCCTTGGTTGCAGTGACTTGGTTTTTGCCAGTTATTTTTCCAAACCCAGATACATGTACAACCTTTAGTAATCAGAACACAGTAAATTCAGATTCAAATTACTTACGTAAGTTATGCTACATTTAATCTGAATCTCATTAACGCTTTAAAGAAGCTGCTAACATGTACCTTTGCATCACCTTCTAGTACAAACCACAAAGTAATTATATACTATTAAGTAAATTAAGAATGAAGTAACTGTTCATTTAAAAATTTCCCAGAGGAGAAGCACTCAAATTCTGTCCTTGCCAAGTAAGTTACTCGAATTAATTTATGTGGCAACAATATGAAGATATAAAAAAAAAATTCAGATCAGAAAAAATCATGGGTATACCTCAGTATATAATCAAAACTAACCTTGTTTTGTTTAAATAAATGAGCAATTCCACCTGTTAAAGCCTTCACTGCACCACTCTTCTGTTCCATCATCTTCTCTAGATTCAAACGGATTCCTGTAACTAAGGTAAAAAAAACCCCAAAACTTCTATTCAAGCATTGCAGTGTTTTTATTTAAAGGAACTAACTTAAACATAATTAACAGCTCTGACACAGTAAGATGTGTTGCATGGCCCTACTAAACGCTAAAGGTTACATTCAAGAACTGCTATGTTAAAAAGCAGTATTCACACTTTCCAAATATAACTTACCTACACATGATTCGGGGTTCAAGGAACAGACACACCCCTAACACTCCAACAGATAAAGGAGCTTAAGGTCAGACTTGATAATCTTTGAGGTCTCTTCCAATCATAATGATTCTATGATTCTATGATACTATTTATAAAAAAAAAAAGTTGTCTGACCAGAAAACTACAGTAGTCAGATTTAAATGATTAAACTTGCTTGTTGATGGAAACCATTTACGTTAACAGGCACTGACTCGTTACTCTTCACACTCACTTTCAATTCCTCTATTAGCGAAATCTTTTCCATGGGCCAAGTGATACAGATGCGAGTTGTTCAGCAAGGCCTAAAATAACACACACAGAAATGTGAATTGGGACATACATTCATGATTGAATTAATCATTATATTATCAGGAAAAAAAAATAAACTGATGTTATTTTCAAAATATTCTCACTATTAAGAAAGTCTGACATGTATTTTAAAAAGTGTATTTCAAATACAGAAATTGTACACAGTAGCTCTTACTGAGGTGTTTTATAGTTACATATTTAACATATATGTTAAACAGTTAAATCCACACCTATCTTTTTCTCATTTCACATTTTTCTCATTTCAGAAGTTGGAAATGACTCCATAGGACTTAAAAAAAAAAAAAAAAAGAATGGTCTTTAAGTAAGCAAAGATGATTCTGACTCACAGGAGAATTTCCTTATTAGCTCAGACAAGAGATTACTTGTCAACAAAAAGACGATACAGAAAAACTGGATGAGGAAAATCTATACTGAAATGCCCATTGAAATTCTAGCCTGTGTAGACATATGTGAGTTAAATTTTGTAGATGAGTAGTTGAGCTGAAGCTAGATGGCTTAGAGCTGGCTCCAGTCACTGGACATTCAGGATTCAAAGACAAAATTAAAATAGTTTTTGTAAGGATGTCTACAAATCAGCAGCTTGAAATGCAGAACCTCTATAACTGTACTTTGATTAGAAATAGTTAGGGAGGGAATATAGTTAGGGAGGGAACTTGGCAAGACAAATGATGGTTTTGGCTATAGCCATCCCTAACACGACATTATCGGTATATTTGCAAGAAGGATAGCAGTGCAAGTCTGCACAGACTAAAATCTAAAGCAGGGATAGTGGAAGATTCAAAGCACATTTTGAGATACCTGCATTATATACACAAGCTTGAGTAAAACTAATACTGTCAGAATAAGATCATTCCATTTTTATGAGTAAGTCTTAACAACTCTCTCTAAAATTCATTTGCCCCTTTCACATAACTGTCACAACCCTGAATCTGTAACAGCCAACAAAAATTAAAGAGACAGCCACCACGTAAGACTTCAGCAATTAGAAAGGAAAAAAACTCCATGTCCAGTGTATTATTCTGTGTGGCTTTTTGGAAAGGAATATGTGAATAATTTGTTATTGTCTCAGTGAACGCAGCCTACATATTCACTTCTTCAGAAGTTTATTACCATTCAAAAAAATTCTGGATAACATTCAAGTTTAGCCATAAGTTCAGAAGTATTTTCATAAGAACTTCAAAGGATTTAAAAAAAAAACCCACAAACTCAAGAAGTTAAATAGATCCTAGCAGAGTTCCAAACTTTCAAACATTGCGTTGATCAACACCTCATTTTTGAGTTTTGCCTCAGTATATTAAGATATTCTGAACTTCATTAGAACTATTACTAAAATATTTAGGAAAATTAATATATCATTTAAAAAACTTTGTATTTGTACTGTATTTTCTCCTCCCATGCTAACAGAACCTCTCTGAGCAAACAGATTAGAAACAGCAATACAGTTAGGAGGGATCTTGGTAAGATTATGTCTGTTACTATAGCCATTACAAACCTGGCATTACCAAAGGAAGACCCTTCACCAGCTGGGTGCTAATGAGGCAGACTCCTTTCATCTAGCGACAGCACTCTTCTTACAATGCCCTAGTTCTGAAATTACTTAAAACTGGATTGACAATGTAAAATACTAGGTTCTTCTGAATTTCTTCTTACTTCTTTCTTTCAGAGTGCATGCCTTGGACCCTCCCTTTTCTCTCCCACCTGCACCACTCCACACAAGCACTACAAGCCCCACTCTTCAGGCCATCTTTTGGTACTGGTGAGAATACTAATTTAGCTTAGATGAATATTTCAAAAGCTAATCAACTAAGCTCTTTCTACAGCCAATGGAGACATACAGCTCTCTTCATAGCATCATGCATCCAACCAAAAACAGAGTTCATGATTTTTCAGGGGTGCCTCTCTCCCTCTAATTTAGGTTTCCTTTCTCTACCTCTAGTGACACAGTTCAGCATTCCTTTAATATAAGAACATCATCTTGGACAAAACTACAGGTTTATTTTGAACAAACTGATATGAGGCGATCAAGAACTTCACATGGTACAAGAGGTACAACCATCTGACATAGCTAAGGTAGACTACAAGAGATACAACCGTTTGAACCACTGGTCATTACTGGTTACAGCATAGACTCCACAGCTCAGTAAGAAGACAGATCTATATGTACCTCTGGTTTTCATCCTCTTCCTCTCTCTCAACTAGGAAAGCCCACAAAACAGAGTTTGCAAACAAAACATTTCTATTGAGCAAATAAAATATTAACCCTTTGTGTTACTTGCATTTATTTGGATCCTCAGCTGATTTGGATTACAATTTCAATTTTTAAAGAAAGTATGTCAATCTTGAGAAACTCCTTCTTAATCTTTTTCCAAGTGATGCATAGAATATCTGTTGGTTTTAATAACAAACTATGTACACTTACCTTGGATGGAATACATCCAACATTCAAACAGGTTCCACCTAATGTTTCATTTTTTTCTACACAGACAGTCTGAGGAAAAAGAAGAGGGTTAAAAAAAGAATTTTTTAGCAATACTGTGCTACCATTTCCTTACAGGATATCTCACAAATTAGAATTGATGACAAAGATCAGGCATTTATCTAGTAACTCTTTCTCTACAAGCGGCTCATTAATTTCATTCCTAGATGTATTTTGTGGCTCAGATTTCCCCTCCCTCAATGTTTTCCTAACTTAAAAACCACAAAATGGCTCTTTGCAACAAAATTCTCTATCAGAGGACAGTCGCATTCCCCACTGCACCATTTATACTTTCATACAAGTTTAAGTTCTGTTCTTCTACTTCAAAAATCCACATAGTTGCCTCAATTAAATAGAAGACTCAGTTCTGTGAAAGATGTTTCCCTCAATTAAAAAAAAAAACCCACCCTGCAAAAAGCAAAAAAAATGTAAATCATACAAAAGACTCCTAAAAACAAGTAAATCATAATCAAACAATAGGTAAATGAACCAGCACAGGTTAAAATTGCATGAAGTAATCTTTTCTTAAAGAAAACAAAACAGAACAAAACCCTCAAACCACAGACATTTCCCTCTCTATACACGCTATCCCACAAGACCCATTGCTATAAAGTTGTGCCAATACCTATAAAGAAAAAAAAAAATCAAGTAAAGCAAAACTAAACAAAAATAAGGTCAATACCAACAGGGGTGGAAAACACTTAAACTTCTCATCGACTTGCCAACATCAAAGTATGCAAAGGAAAAAAACAACTGACAAAATTTCAAGTATAAAAGGATCACTTGAGGGGTAAAAGAGTATCCTAAACCTTTTTTATAGAAGCAAAAGAATTGGCATCTCCTTTGCAAAGTGCTTACCTGTTCAAAATAGTTCCTTGGTTTATACTCCAAGACCTCCAATCTGCTGAGAAGTGACTACCCAAGCAAAAGCCTTTCATCATTTCTTTAAATTGCTGCTTTTGTGCTAACGTAGAGGTGATGGTAACATGAAGAGGAGAATTCACCATATCAAACCACAGAAACACACCGAGACATGCTGATCCCCTATCTACCCTTCCTCCTGTTTTAAGCACATGAACGCATGAAAAATGATCCAAGGGCTTTAGAAGCTGCACTGTGGATCAAACGGCACCAGACTGCTCCTACCTTTACCTGATAAGGAGGTTCTGCCTCATCCACTTTACATCAATTTCACCAATAAGTCCAAGCAAAGTTGTTGAAAAGCCAATGCCTGGAGAATATTGTCAGCAATAAGGTGGGATGCTGTGGTGGTGATACAAGGACTTAACGCTTGTGCTAGCAGACATAGCACTAAAATTGAACGTTAAAGTTCAGTAATTCAGTAGAGCACGCTCAGGTTCTTCCACGGATGGTGTAACTATAGAATCTATCTTTTTGCCAGTCTCACAAAAACATCTCCTTACATTCCCCAAGGACAGCATAAACATTCTTCATGTTTATTCAGTGCTACAGGTGACACATGCATGCATGTCCAAGTATTTTGCCCACTCTGACTAGCTGTGAAGCAGTATAACAAAATAATTTGTTGCTATGATGAAAAACTGAATCCAGGGCACTATTAACCTCCTTGTATATGGTATCCTATTGTTAATCACAAATAAGAAGGACCTGAGGACAGTGTTGCTCCAAGAAAATCAGACATATAGTCACAAAAAATAGCTTTAGAATAAACAAACATGAACTTATGTGGCAGAAGGCCTCAATCTCAATTAAAACCTGTAGCACTGAGTACCTTTTTTCTCAGGTACTAATAGCTCAGTAACAACATACATCTAAAAGCAAGATTATTTATTGAGGAAAAAAATCCACAAACATGGATAAAGACAATTCAATTATCTGCACTAGGTCACAAGCAGATGTAAAACTTCTTAATGGAATCTCAAACATTTCTATTTTAGTACAGTTACATATTAGAAGGCTGAAAGATACCCAAAGAGACATCACTGAAACCCAGCTGTAGCAGTAATGAGCAATGAGGGACAACACTCAGAATTACAGAAAAGTGTAGGTTGAAGGGACCTCTTCTGGAGGCAATCTACCCACAAACATCACCAACATCAAAGGCATACCAGGTGGCTCAGGGCCCTTTACAGCCAAGTTCTGAAAATATCCAAGGATGAACACTACATGCTATCTGGGCCCCCATTCCAGTTCTTCACCAGAACTCCATTCATCAGCAGGAGTCCCTGTCCTTACCAGGTGGTCTAATCAACTCATTTTAGTCATGAAGTCCAGCTGTCATAATTCAGAAGCATTGGGACATATCAGCCAGCAGACCATGCATCAAGACTGCTAGCACCACCTTCTCAGATTTCAAAATAATTAAGTGAAGAATAATGCAGTGCCAAGAGAGTCTCATATTAAGGAGTGAAGGTAAAAAAAAATCCTGCTATGTATTTTTGTAAGTTTAGAAAATCTGAAATGCATTATATACATATAACTCAATTAAATGACACATCATTAGTACACATCAAATGAAAGTTGCGTCTTTCAAAAGGCAAAGACAACAGATATGAACATAAATAAAAGCAAATTAAATATCATAATATTTCTACAGATATTTTTTCATCTCACATGGCAATGGAATTCCTCTACTCACATTCAAAAAGCACATCAGTTGAATATT